TTGAAGATCAGTTTTATATTCTCTGGTTAACTTGTGGTTAGGCTTAATGTGATATTTTATTCAATAGGCTTCATCTATGATGATGTCATGAATGAAATCTATTGAGTGAAGCATCAGGTTAAGCTCAGCCACAAATTAACCAGATAATGGAAAATCGGATCTAAAAGTGACTACAAAATCAGTTCAGTGATTAATCATAGCTAAAAAAAATACAATTTTTACATTATCATCAGGTTAGTCTAACCAGAAGTTAATAAAAAAATTAAAAACTAAACCTTAAGAATAAATTGTCACTTTGAAGAGTGAAATTTCACTCTTAAAGATTGAAAATTGAGTCACTCTTCTTCAAGGCTCAATTTTCAATCTGTAAGTGAGATTTTACTCCAAAGAATTTCAAGAGTAGAGTCTCCACGGTCACAAAGAGATGTAAGATTCATTTTTGCGCCAACAAAGGGTAATGAGATCTCCGATGAAACTCCGAGTCCTTGAACATGAAGTGGAGGCTGTTCGCAATTCACGATCATTTATCCGACGATCCTCTCGATCTCCTGAGACTCGAGGCGAGGCCCGGCAACGGCAACGACAATGACAGTGGCGATGGCGATGACAATGACGATGACGATGACGATGATAAAGATAACGACGGTGACGATGATGGCGATCCCGACGTATCTAATCACGTTCGATCGCGGAAAACGTATCTGCGGAGAGAGAGAGAGAGAGAGAAAACACGCAAGGTTCAGGATAATACTCACTTGCTCCTGCTCGGCGGTTAACGTGGCTGCCATTTTGGCTCAACGCGCTGGCATGCCCAAGGAGGAGGCGTGTATCACAAGAAGCGGAGAACGCGCGGCGCGTGGAGTAGCTCTTGGTATTATATCCAGTCCCGGTGCCGCGCACGTACGTCCGCAAAAGGAATAAGCATTCTGTTACGTTTCACGCACCGATAAAGCAACCCTTCGTCCCCGCCTTCTTGCGCGCGACGCCACTAGTCCTTACAGAGTACAGCCACCCTCGGCGGCGACGGCGGCGGCGACGACGGTAACGGTAGCAAGAAACGGTAAATCACCCCGGCGCGCGACCATTGTTCCACCGTCTCGCACGCACTCGAACGCGAATGTGACACTCTCCTGACTCTCCTCTCCGCTCCGCTCGACGCGCCTCGCCTCGGCTCGACTCGACTCGATTCACTCGATCGTCTTCCCCTCGGCGATCGCGCCGCCATCTTGAGGCAAGCGCCTGCGCGCGCGCGCATAAACGAGACAATGCGATCGTTGCTCGGAATTTTAAAATTAAAATAATCGTTAGATTCGTAGACCCGATAAGATTATTTTTAATTTATCGATAATCGGCGCTATTTTTATGACAATCGCGAATTGTGTTAAAGGTCACGATATTTGATAAAGAAATACGAAAGTATCACGTGATCGTTATCACGATTAGTAAAAAAATTTTTTAAACAATTTATATCCACATTTCTATCAATGTAATTTAATTTTATTCTCAATTTAATTTAATCTTTATCTTTTTCTGATCCTTAGAACTATAAAAGGATACAAAGTAAATTAAATAGAAATTAAAATTGGATGTTTTCCATTGAAGACACAAATTGACACAAGTGTTTTTATCTGTGTTTTTCATTGAAATATCAAGAAAGATAGAATGCATTTGTGTTGACTAGTGTCACTATATGGAGTAAATAGAAAGCACTCACTGATATTACATATACAAATACATTCCCTGAATTCTTTTGGAATAGAATCTCACTTTAGAAAATAAAAATTGAGCCAGTCAAAAGAGTGGATCAATTTTTCAATTTTTAAGAGTGAGATTCACTCTAAAAGTTTTAGAGAGCATCTATATATATATATGTATAAATATATATTATATATGTATATATTTAAAGATAGATCGCACTTTTAAAATTGATAAATGGTGTGTAATTATTACAACATAGTACAAAACTTTATCATAAAATTATTATAGTAAATTTAAATAATGTTCAATGTTACCTGTTGATAAATTAATATCAATACCCTTCCCCTGTTGTGAGTATCCTCCACAAGAAATTTCAGTTCTCACAGATATCGAGATATTTATTCGATTATAATATAATGCAATGTTATAGTAATGTGAAATTAAAATTGAATTCCCTTTCTTCAAAATAAGTATATCGTACTGATAATTATACTAAAATGAATGACTGTTCTCTCTGACAAGAAAAAAGCGATTATGCTTACTTGACAATGAGTACTTATATGAAAAACATCACGTATTTTTGCTAAATGGGAAAATCCAAAATTATTTCAAAATGTCAAAAGTAATTATTATTGTAATCAAATGGCTTAAAAACGCAGACGAGTTAAAACTTTGAGAATAAACAGATAAATTTCTATTTTATCAATTCCGAGTGAAGACTTCAGATTCCTTAACATAACTCTTCCTTCCTTAACTCTTAATCTAACTCTAAATTTTGGAGTTTTAATTTCCAGGTTTAATTGCCGGAGCAGTTTAATTAAAATTTTAAAGAATCGCTAAATTCGCCTACACTTCCATGAAGAAACCGTCTATAAAACGACTTTTCCATTCGTCTCGTGACTGAGGGTGGTAATAGACGCAATGATCCAAACGCCAGTGTTTCGTAATATAAACATTTTTTTTCTTATTCAAACGTATGGTTCTTACATTTACACAGTACAAAAAATTATACTCAGACCTGCCGGCCTGCGGTTCATAACTGCTATGACTGGGGGCGGCCGGTGGTTGCAGGAGGGGACGCAGGGGGGAGGAAAGGGGGTGGATATATAGCGCACAATTTTTTCTTTTTTTTTCTCTTGGGATTTGGATATACACACATCTTGCGGAAGGTCGAAGGTCTGTACATCATTTTAGATATCGTCCATTCCACTCCGCCCCCAATACACGGCCCCTCGTTCTCTCATTCTGTCGCATTTTCACTGGATCGCCACCACGCATACGCACACACAATCAATTATACCCTTTATTCTCTCTTCCATTCATCCACACTCTATCTTTCTCGCTCACTTTCTCATTTGTCTACTCTGCGTTACTGTCCCGATATTCTTTCTTTCTTTTTTTCCCTCTTTTAAATCATTTACACTCGCGCGCGTTCATGTTTGTCGTTCTCATATTCAGCAACATTTAAATATCGTATTTTCCGTAATAATTAAACGTAATAATGATAATATATAATAATTATAATAATGGTATAATAAACTATCTACCTACGCGTGTAAGGTGTATCTTCTCGTGTTTCGTAAAGGTTTGCGTATCTTCCTATCATTACGAGTCCTAGACACTCTTCCCGTCTTCATATTTATATCTGTATACATATACGGATGTATATAAATGTATGTACATATACACGTAGCAAGAGGACAAACAATAGCGTCTCATTTTGCAGCAATAATACACAGAAATACGTCTTCCTAGAACTTTATACAACACCGCCGTTGTGGAGTTAGTACTTTTTGCTTGTTTGTAGCTTATATAATTCCCACAATCATTATCTATCAACACTAAGATATTTTAAAAATTTACTCGTTAAATATTAATCAAGTCGTTGTATGCTAGACGAATGTTGAGATCAAAGAAATTGCGGATTCCAGGATGCCAGTGATCTTTTTTTTTTTTATTCTTTTTCTTCTCTTCCGTTCGCTCTTTCTTTTCTTTACACTGTGTCAAGATTATTCGTCGATGATTATATTATCTGACAATCGGCGCAAAAATGGTGCGTAACGACGTTATGTTCGATTCGAGAGCTGCTGTGTCTTGCAATGTCGCAAGCTATAAGTGTGAACATTGATCTCGGAAAGTTTCGTCGTTTTCATATACATATTTACGCTTATGCAACGTCCATCAGAACAAATTTCAGCGAAAAGGAGAAAAAGAAACGGAAGCGACAGCAGTTTTCGAATCGTCAGTGACAGTCCGATTAGCGCGGAATATTGTCGTTCGCACGAACTGTCACGAAATGATAGGAACTCGGCCCTGTCATCTCTGTGAATTCTGCGTGACTAATTAATTCTCTTTTCTTCGTTCTTTTCTTCGTTCTTTTCTTTCTCTTTTTTTACCTACGCATACACGAATACAATACAACGCGCGCATACTTAACGTCCCACGTGGTTCAACATTGGCACTTCGAAAAAGTCATCCTTTTTTTCCCTTTTATTTTTTCCTTTAAATGTTACTGCAAATAATTTTATCTTTATTTAGCGTCTCAGCATCTCGTTACAATTACATTATCGCTGTCTTTTCGTTTTATCGTCCGACATAGACGGTTTGTATACGCTTTGACAAAAATAACATATTCATTTATTAGTACTTTCCCGTCCGTTACACGCCGGGTAGTCACTGGGTTACGACAACAATGAAACGTTCAATTCAACAGTGTTTCACATTCGCCGTTACATCTTGAAAAGTTAATATCGGACAAGTTGTATATTTCTTTTATTTTTTATTTTTTTTTTAGTTCTGATGCCTTATACTCGAAGTGACATACAAAACTTGTAGTTCACCCCGTTGCTCATATAACCGATACATACGTCGCCATAGAAACACAATGCATCTCTACAAGAACGTTGTTCTACAAAATGTTTACTTAAACAAAAAGAGAAATGCGAGAAAGGTCTGTTTCTTCCATTGTCGTCGAACCGATTAGTTAGGCAGTGTTTTTTATTTTTTACGCCCTTGTTGCGTGAAACATAGAAGACATGAACGCGAATACGTATCGGCTATCTCTAGCCGGGGTTTTGATCAAATACCGAAAAGCACCAGATCTCAGAGCAGACGATTAAATGGATCCGCAGTTATCCGCTGTGATCCAGCTATAATAATTTATAGTCACACCTAATTGCACAAAGGTACTTCTAGACGAACCCCCCTTTCTCTCCCTCTTTCTCTCTGGTAGTTGCTAGCAAAAATTATTACACAATATTTCAATTATCTACATTTATATAATATAGACAAGTGTATGTGTGTGTATGTGTATATGTGTGAATGAGTGTATGTATTGGATACAGGCACGATATAATTAATTACAAATAAATGTATACGATCCAAAGTCCTTCTTATATCACAATAGTAATGGACGCGGCGTTTTATCTATGCGCGATCCGAGCTACGGATTTTGTTTTCACTCGTAATAGAGCAGCTCATCGGACTTCATGTCCGCGGGCACCTTTTCTCGCGGAAAATGGGAGAGCAAAAAAGAATTGTATATAAGAGAATTCGAATGAAACAATATATAACTAATGTTCATTGGCTCAGCCAATATCGCAAATCAAATCTTCTGATTAAAATCATTAAATCTTCACAAATATCACAACAAATTCTCGCACCTCCGCAACGATCTTTTTGCAGCAAGGGCGGTCTTCTTCTGCAGATTCTTCCGGGTGTGCCAACTTCGCTGTGTCCGGAAGCGCTGACTGCGATCAATCTCGTACGAACAACGAGATCCAATCAAGGGGATTATCAATCGGTCTTATCACCATACAGGGAAGACCTAAGGCTAAGTCTCCTCCTTTGTTTTCGTTTCATTGTTAGCCTTGGCGAGTTTAGCGAGAGTATCCTCCTTAACATGGGCTAAAACGGTCAGAGAGTCTTTCACGGCATGGTAAATAATATTCTTGATTTGAAGCTTATCCTCATGATTCGTATGGGTATCGGATAGTGCACGGAATTCCTGGGTCAGGTGGAAGCAATGCGAAACGTTCTCCGGCGACACAAAGTCCTCGGCCACCTTTATACAATTTTGGAGATTACGGACCTGATGTGGCGCGCCAGCTGGCACGAATACTGCATCGCCTAGACATTGGACGATAGCGTACCTGCAATAAGATATTAAACATTATTTTAATAAAATTACTACAATCGACGTTCTCTCTTCCAGCAAATTCTTTGAAGAATTATTTAAGAGCATTAAAAAGTAACACTTACCCTTCAACACCATATTCTCGATACAATCGCTCCCGCAATGGTCCATCTAAATAGCAACTTTGATCGTGTATAGGATCGTGGTGAGGTTCCAAACGAGCTCCGCGTTCTAAGGCAACAGCATTCAGAAGATCTCGAATTTTGTCTGCATCACGCGCTGCGTAAATGTGCCACAAAGCACCAGGCACATTCTCCTTCTCTTCGCGAGCACGTCGACGCGTCAGAATATCACAGCCTGCTTCGTCTATCGCTCTCAACGCCTCTGTCCTAGCTGTAAATGTTTCAATCATTAATTTTCAAAGACTCAATTATTACTTGGACAAGAATATTAGCGACGCAAATGGATGCTTGGTTATGCGTAAAGATCAGATATGAATACATACCTTTGAGACTTTCCTCGTCATTAACATCCTTTGGCATTCCTACGTATACCATAACGTTCACGGCGTCCGAGATATCAAGATGAAGATTAGTCGTGCCTTTGTTGGAATGAAGAGCGGAACCGTAAGCGTTATACATCTTTGGACCCAGATCCGGTCTCACGAAGCAATTAGGTAGACGACTCGCCAAATTTAGCCTGCCGTTTCTATGCGTGTACTCGGACAATGGAAGAACCTTCATCAGATCCGTGAATCTCGATGGTAATAATTCGGCGAAATCATCACCGGGCGGCCAGTCCTTCAATTTCAATAGCATAGGATTTCCTCGCTCGTCCTTAAGCCGCTTAGAATAGTACTCGAATCCTTCCCAGAACTTGCGCATTGGCTGATTCGGCACCAGATTGCCGGTCATACAGTTAACGAGATCGTTCTTCTCATCGCCGAAATCGCGGGCGAATGAATCAGGATGCCAGAGCTTTATGTCCAGCGCCTTGGCGACGTCCGACACAATTACCGGCTGTCCTCGCTTCCACTGATCCTGGAATATTCTGTAGTTGTTTGGATTATTCGGGTCGCTTAACCTCAGCAACTTGCCGTCGCAGAGCCAAGAGTGTGGCACGTCTGGATAAAGACTCCGGCTCTCTGTACCCGTCATAATTCTGATTGGTAATGGCTCACGACCGCGCTGTGTCCACTTGTAGCGTCGTACGAAGTGTTTCAATTCCCGTGGCTTTTCGTCATCAAGACCACTGTCCTTTTCCTTTTTCACACTGTGTTCGATCACACTGGATATTACTTCGTCAAGCGTATCCATTTTCGACTTTTTGCCAGACTTGGCGACGTTATTCTGCGGGGTGTTATTCACACCACTTGAATTGTTCGTAGGTGAATTCGATCTGGATCCACCGCTCCCGTTTGACTTGTGCGACGGTCTTATGAGCAACTCCCGCAATGTCGAGTAATTACCCTCGCGATCATCATCCGAGTCGGAGTCCGAGCCGCTATCGTTTTTGTCCTGATTCTGCAGTGCTACATCGGCCAACCAGTTCAGCGGTGAGTTTTTGTCCTCGCCGTTGGTCTTGCTCTCCGATGCACCGTTAGATTCATTTATCTTCTTCTCCTCTTTTATCTCCTGTTTCACGTTTCCATTGAGAACGGGCACAGAATCACCTTTGATCAGATTTCGAAGTATCTCGTTTGGTTGCGTCGGAGTTACGAGGGAGCAAGCACAATGTTGCGGAATTCCCCATTCTGCACGACATTCGTGTAGACGTTGACCCAGTCGCAGAAGACTGTCGCCGGCGATGATTTGCGTAAGCATGAGTCGTTCCGGTTCGTGTACTTGCCTATTCGTGCATAAAAGCCACGAAAAGTCGTCCCTGTCTTTTCCACTCTCGCCCCAGATTTTGACCGTTCCATTTTTACGTCCCTAAATATTAATACATTTTTATCAATAAATCTCCTTTAAAAGAGAAAGAAATTATAACTGTTATATTAATGTCAGTGTTAAAAAGCTCAATAAATTACATATCATGTGATATCAATTGAATTAATTGTCATCACATATTCCTAGTATTTAACTGGGAGAAAAAGAAAAAAAAAGTATATATTTCACGCAACTTACCTTATAACAATCAATGCACACGACAAAGCCGCATTTGCCACAGGCCCAATGGACATTGAACAAGGTAGTCTCGCACACGTCGCACATTTCTCGGACACCCAGGATCACTCGTTTCCACGCTACTGTTCCGTCTACAACCCCCGAACTCGCTGTCAAAAGGTAACCATAATCGATGCGCAAAGCGTTAAAACATGCGAACAAAAGAAATTGTGCAAACCACCCATGCAGCCTGATATTTGAAGTTATAGTTTTGCAAAATGGCATATTGAATTATTATATACAAAAAAATCAGTGTGAATAATGTATACAAAATCAGATGTACTGAAAATAATTTAATAATGATGATGATATTAATTTTAATAAAAGTTATTACATGCTTTACGTATTTGCTTTAATGATGTATTTTAATTATATGTATGACATGTATGAGTTGATTGATACGAAAATTGTGGGGGGTCAGTTCCGAAAAATATGTTGTAAAAAGAACAAAGTGTTACCTTCAGCCATATGTTCTTGGAGGGCGTTCTTCTCTTGATGTAAAAGATCACAGAATTGATCGCCAACTTGCCAAAGCAGCCGATGAGCCGTTTCTAAGTCTAGGTCCTCTCGATCTCCTTTGTCCTTCTCGTTCTTCTCGGATTTGTCATTCTTTCCTGTTGTCTTTTGGTTATTTCCTCCTGGTAACCATAATCGAAGATCATCCTGTAACATTGTAACGATAGTTCTCCTTTGAGAGCATGCATCTCGAATTAAAACTGTAATACCCGTATCACACAAGTAACTAGCGATTAAGTGTCTTAAAGGAATTGTTATAGCGAACATCTTTTTGATTAGTCAAAAGATTCAAATACGAATGTAGATGCAATCGCCAATCGGTAAATATGATACAGGCATAAGACTGACTATTCGTCTTATTTTAATTCGTTTTATAATAATTTAATTACAATGTATAAGTGTTGACCATGTTGATCTTCGTAATTTACCTCGGACGCGTCTTTATGTGGGTCACTGAATCCCGCTATGGCCAATTGTCCGTTTTTGGTATAACGCAGTCTGCGAAATGCGTAGAATCTACAGAAGATATTCTGAGAGTTCTTGGAACGCTGGTTCGGCGTCCATCGGCACTCGCGGCACTTGGCCAATTTCGTAGCCACCTCGAAACAGGCGCCGTCCTGCAGCCAACTCTCACCGGATTTTTTCAGTTGCGATATCGTCGGTTTACGAAAGGACTGTCCACCGCTTCCGCCCGGACCGTTGTTACCGCCGCTCGTACTGTCGTCCCTGCGTTCCTTCTTCTGACGGGGTTGTTGGTCCTCACCTCCCATGTCATTATTTTTCGTACTCTTTGGTCTCCTACCACGTTTCCTAGGTTCCTTGTTATTTCCTGCATATCAACAAATCATGCATCTCGCTTCGTCAGAAAGTCTGTTATCATCCTAATTTTTGTGCAATTTTTTTATTAGAGTTATTCAGTGTTAAAAAGCTCGTGGTAATAATATCATAATATTATCAATTATTTTATATTGTCATCATATATATAATATCTTAAAAATATAATGTATGTGCATCTGAGTGTAATGATATAATCAGGGAACAGGGTAAGTGCGTGAGATCGAATTAATGAAATTTGAAAGAAGGTAAGCGAACTCGAAAAAAGCATCCAAGATCCAAAAATTTCTAAAAAAATCTTCCTTTTTTGGCCAGAAATAAAATTTCACAAATTAAGTGCAATTCAATTTGCTTGTCAATGACTCTTGATTCTCTCGAGTTCTCGTACATCTCTAGATACAGAAATAATCGTACGATCATGGAACACGGATCACTTACCCTGCAAGTGAATAGTTAGTTCACCTGACGGGAAGTCCATTTACAAGAAGCTACGTCAACTAACCGTTTCCCGAGGAATTGTTGGAATTGGCCGTGGTGTGTCGAACCCTCGACGCAGGCTGAATAGAGCTCAACTGTTCGCTGGTGTCGCTGGAGCCTGCCTCGCTCTCATTGCTGGACTCGCTGCCCGCACCGCCGCCTTGCTTGTCCTCCTTCCGCCTCCGCTGATCTTCCGCGGCCGTTTGTTGCCTCCGTGCGGCGCCCTTCTTTCGTTTTACCTACCACAGGGCATAGATTATTAAGTAGTCAGGAAGTTCATGCTCTTGCCGCATCTACTAGCCGAAGCTACTAAACTGGCCACACTACTGCTTCAGCGCTACCATTTGGCACATCAAGTTTAAAGATCTATGTAAACCTAAGCAAAAATTAAAATTACATCACGCATAATAATATCTAACCAGCTCTATATCAAACACAATTACATTCACACAACCTCTTACTCGTTATGAATCTATTTATTCATAGTTGCCTTCAATTTCCATTTTATTCTTTAATGTTTATAAACTTTTAAAGTGTTTTTAAATTAAACAAAACAAATAAAAGTATAATCTTCTCGCCTAAATCCCCCTTCCGAGATGGAGCACCGAACAATGCTTCTTTTCAATGTGTGAAGTCTCGCACTGCTTAGTGTAACACAATTATTCTTTTTGGAGCATAATTCAATAATCAGCTAAAAAATCGCAAATCTATTGTAAACGCAACTTTATTTGATCGTGGAATCTCCGGTAAAAGTGAAATTGCTGTGCCAGCGTCCCGATCACCTTGCGCGAATGGAGGTTAGGTCACGATTGCGGCGAAAATTTTCAGTAACGGCGATATTTACCCCTCTGCAATATTTGTTCATGGCGAGTATTCTGCCACTCACGATCGATGTGCAGACACTCGTAGCAAATATCCTGTCTGATGATTGATCAATCAATTGTTTATAGGCGTACGTGACAAAACACTTGTTACTCGCGCAACGTCCATTACCCGTGAACACCCATGATTCATACACGCCTTACGTAGGAAAATGGCGCCCTTTGCGCGGGATTTAAACTCACTTTGCGGAGCAGATTCTACAATAGGGTCGTCCGACCAATCATAGCTCGAATATAAGGAGAATAAGCGCTTATGACTGGTCTATTTCTAACATGGCTTACGACCCTATTGTAGAATTGGTCTAACGGACAAAAGTCCGTTAAGAAAGGCAGAAACTCCATGTTCTTTGTAACTCTCTCTAAGCTAGTATTATATTTAAAATGAATTATTTATATATTTGGCCAGTGAACTCGAGAATATACTAGAACGCTTACCACCATAAAAACAGCCGAGCTGACAAAAAGTTTAATACCCGTTTTTATAATAGTTTAATATTTATTTCTGATTCAATTACTTAATCTTTTTTTAATTCTAGGCATTAGAAAAAGATTATTTAATAAATTGAATCGAGATTAAATATAAATACAGAAAAATATTGTTCTATTGCTAAAAAAAAAGTAATGTAATTTACTTTCAAGTAACTTTATATATAATAATCAAATCAAATTTTTTTTAATTCAATTATCTTGATAAAAGAATTAAACTTGCTAGGATTTTTTCGAAATATTTCTTGAATAAATTTGATTGCTGTAATGAATTTATACAATAAATGTGCGGATTTAAAAACTTTTAAAATGTTTAAAACAAATAATTATTATTTATGTACAGTAAGTATTTTCTGTGCATACATTGGTAGAAGGGAATTGTGCTCTTCTTTCGTTTCTTAAAAAACGTACAACATTAATACTTTTTTAAGCTTCCCAGGGTACTTTCTAGAAGCTATGCGTTTCGCAAGTTATCTCCGTGATATACATTCTTGGAACGCCAACTGCAACGTTCACGAAACGTTGGCGTTCCAAGAATGCATATATAAACGCGGAGATAACCCGCGAAACGTACTACGTTCTCGATGATTCGAGGCTCATGGTGAATTCGATTATTATACACTATATTAAATTAATTCATATTAAAAAGACTGCTTTATTAAAATATTTAAACGCAATGGCATAATATAATCAACTTTAACAATATTCTGTCAAATAGCAACAAAATCGTTATTAAGTAATTAATTGTTTAAAATTTAAAATATTTATATTCCTTTACATTTAATTTTGTTAATTTCATGCATATCTGTCTCTCTCTTTCGCGCGCGTTTTAACTTGTCGAACAGAATTCTCTCTTCCCATGTTGTAAACGTTCTAGTAAGTTCCATAATTCTATGATTCCGTTTGGCGAAAGCTTCTTTAAAAATTAAGTGTTTTGCCTTAGAAAAGCAGAAAAATGTAATTACAATCTTCGAGATGTAGGAATGAAAAACTCGATACATATGATGCACGATTTTTGACGGACACGATTCGGCGGGCACAAACAAAAATTCTGAACGACACAAAACTCGGACCGAAGCCGGAAAATATCCTTCCACTTCGACCGATCTCTTGAGACTGATTTGGTAAAGGCAAGAAAGCTCTTGTCCAGGCCAGTGCAGCAACAAAGAACGGGTCAGTTTCGATTTTGAAATATCCCAGCTTTGTTCGTTTTGTCTGATCTTCTTGCATCTGTTCTCTTTTTCTTTCCACGTTGGAAAGAAAAAGAGAAAAAGAATGTACAGTTGGAAGCCTGTCTTTTCCGAGGCGTTCTACCTACGCTGGAATTCGCTTTCATGCCTCGGTCCGGGGATTGCCAGGTCAATGAAATACCAACCCCTCGCCAACCACAACGAATTGACAAAAAAAAAAAAAGGGAAGTTTCACCAATTTATTCACTGCTAATAGTAAAATTCTACAGTGCACGTAACGTATACTACAGATTTTCAATACTGATCGTAAATACAAAGGATGGAATATTAATGACATTGCAGGCAAAACGATTAATTTTCGTATGCTTTTGGATATTTTAAAAATTGTTGATGCCTATTAAAATTTTGCGCTCCTCCAAATTTTGTGTCTTACTTTGAAGCGAACCTTTTCAGTGCCTCGTAAATCTCCGCGCATATGTATAGTTTAGCTAAAAAGGACAGCGCCCCTATTTTTAAAAAGAAACTTATACGAAATTCTAGGAAAATACTATAGTATATGTAACATATACTGCAGTATTTTCCTGGACTTCCGTTTCTTTTCAAGAATAGAGATCCAGGACTACTATTTCGTCAGAAATAAAAGCGTACGATTTAAATAAACAATTCAAAATAGATATATAAAATAGAATATACAGTTCTAAAGAATGATTCATCAGCGTTTCAATTTTTTAAATTAAATTTATTAATTAATATATAATTTAATAATAGGAATGTACACTATAATACAATCTTTAATATTATTTATTAATAATATATAACGCAACGTTCCAGAGGAAGGCTTAAGTAAACAAACCTTTCCCTTCGAAAGTCGCGTGAATATATTAATTAATAATAAATAACATTAAAAAATTCTGTTATAGTATATTCTTATTAGATAATACATCAGTTAATAACAATAATAATGTTAAAAATTTTATCTTCAAAATAAAAATGTTTAGTACGTCCGGTTTTTTTAAACATAATATTTTAATATGAAAAGAAGTACGAGTATTCAAGCTTGGTTTTTTCTTCATAACATAAAATGATCAACACTTTTTTAAACTGCAAATATTCTCGATGCTAAAGAGTTTTTCCTTCTATGATAGTTGCAAGTTAAGAACTACGGCATAGCAAACAAAACTACTGCATATTCATGCTTCTATAATTTCTACAGGTTTTTTTACGAAATTTGTTATCTGAGAAGTTACGATACCGATACAAAATAACAAACTTTATCAATTCTAATGACTATATATATGATTAAGCACGTAATGAACGTTAAAGTTTTTACTAAACTTAATGCTCATAACTTATGGAAACAGTCGTTTATAAATACTGACTATAAGATAAAAAAATACATTAAAACATTTAAAAATGTTTGTATGTAAAATACTGTTTACAATTTCAAGAAAATATAAATCAATAATTAATATTTTGTTATAAGAGTCGTTAGATAATATATCATTAAAGAACATAATTTTAAATTCATACTTTGCACAACCAACAAACCAGAAATATCTGCGGTATTATATGTATAATTATACATATAATACTACAGATATTTTTCTGGCATCAAGAATTTCAATTGAAAATAAAATCTAATAATTACTGGATTTAATGATTAGTCTTCATTTCTCTTGTTATTATGTATTATTACAAAATAATATATTTTTACACAATTTATCATAAAGTCACATATTATTCAACGAGGAAAAGTTAAAAGTTATTGGGCACAAGCGAGTACTAAACTACCAGCACAGCATACGCACTCCAAATTCAAATAATGACTTCTAGCGATAAACAGGAGCTACCGTAAGCGATCTGTATAAATAGATACCTTGGGTGGCTTCCGTTTAGGCGGCGACTTCCTCTCCGGGTCGCTGCTAGACGAGTCCTCCTGTGGGGTCTTGCTTGTATCAGTGGCGTGACCGTTCAGCGACTCTTTGTTCGCCGGTTTTCGGCCGCTCCTGCCAGTAACTTTGCTCTTGTTGATGCTGTTTACTGCCATGCTACCGATATTGTGGATCGAATTAACCGCGCTAGGCAAACAAGTAGTCGGCGCATTGTCGCGGTTCTTACTATTCGAGGACGTTGTCTCACGAGAGATGTTGAGAGGTAACGTAATGCTGCCGGCCATACTGATAGTGTTCTCGGTGCCGTCTTCGCATCTCGAGTGTCTTTGCAACCACGCCTTTTTCAGTTTATGTACTGGATAGTTGGTGCTGCTAGGAGGTCTCGGTGCCGGACTGTTACACTTCTCGCTGTCCGTGTTGCTGGGGTTTGTCTTGGCGGGCGTGCCGGGCGCACTGGGCGCTGGGCTGGGTGCTGTGGACGGCGCCGGGCTAGGGATGGGCGCCGGACTTGGTGCCGCGCTCACTGGCGTTGGATTTAGCGAGCATACGCTGCCGGTGCTAGCGGGTCGTACGGAACCGTCACCGCTGGCGTTACCCGGAGCCGGACTCACCACTGTTACCGTGCGCTGCTCTTGCGTTACCTGATTATTTGGCTGCGCCAGCAACGCTGCAGTGTTGACAACTGTAGTGATAGACGTAGCGGCTGAAGCGATAAGCGGGCTGGGCTCGCTCACCCTGGAAAGAACGGGCGGACCAACGGATTGTAAAGATAATGGTTGTGGTTCCTCGGTCCTTCGCTTCTTACAAACTTCCAACGACACCGGTTGGCCGCTGGTATTGTCGCATAACAATGGCGTCGGTGCTTTCCTCTTCGGTGAGCCCGACCTCTCGACACCGAGATCGAGCGGTTGCGTCTGGAAGGCCGTGGTGATCTGGGGCTGCGCGTGCTGCAACGTTTGACCGGGTTGCTGGTGCGGGCTGGTATTGAGATGAGCGGAATGAGCGATCGGCCTTGAGAGTGGCGCCGAGGCGACCGTGGGCGGCGAGCCATGCAACGTCGGTGGCGGCAGTTTCGCGCCCGGCAATGAGCCGGGGAAGCGACTGTCGTAGACGGACCGGCTGTGCGCAGGTGGCGGCAACGGTGGCGGCGGCGCCCCGTGATGATGAGGCACTTGCTGGTAAGGCGAGCTGCCGGCCTTCGAGGTCAGCGGTATCGGCGCGGCGACAGGCGTTTCGGAGGCACGGCAGACCGGCGTGCCGGCTATAATGCCGCAATTAGTAATACCGCAGTTAGGCTTGCCGTACATGTGCGGCGGCGCCGGGCTGCTGACTTTCGGCTTGGAACCGGCCGGCGGCGGCGCAGCGTAATGCGACGACGTCGTCGACGAGGCCGTGGGCGGATGCGGATGCGGGTACGGATACGTAGACTTGGCCGCGCCGTACGGCAGACCCGCAGATTCCGGCCTGCTGAGATAGCGCGGTTCAGGCGGCGATGGATGCGGCGGCGCCGGTGGCTGGTGCGGATGCTGCTGTGGCGGGGCGTGCGGGGATTGACGAGGATTGTGCGAGTGCAGGCGCGGCTCGGGCTGCGCCGGCGGCGGTGGCGGTGGATGACCGTGCGGACTCGGCAGTTGCGTCGTCGTCGTCGGCGCTCCGCCACCGCCACCGCCCCCGCCGCCACCGCCGCCTCGATGGTGACTCGCGGACGCCGCGATGCTCTTCGCCTGCAGACCGTCCAGATGCGCGGGATGCAGGTGATGTGGGCTCTGCGTTGGGCTTCTGTATTCGTACGCTGACGACTTGTGCTGCGGCGCCACCGACTGGACGTTCATGTAAGGCATTATCTTCGGGCTGGACGAGTGTTGTTGCGGTGCCGGTGTCTTCGGTAGCTCCCTGCCCTCGTTTTTCACAATTACCGAACTCTTGTAATCCGGCAGTAAGGATGGCGGGTTCTGTAGTACCTCTCTGCCATGATGGTCCCTCTCGAGGCCGCCGGCCAACCCGCTCTTGCTCGATAGCGACTTGTGCGGTCCTATCTCGTTCTTTAACTTGAGATCATGCAGATATGACGTGCAAGATGACTGTGGCTGATACGTCGACGAGTAGTTGAACAAGTTCACGTTCGGCTCGGCTTTCGGTAACGAGCTGTGCGAAACCACCGACGGTTTCTCGTGCAGGCCGGCAACCTGCAACGACGACTTTGACGTCCGCGAGTGCGCCGGTGGTGGCGGGTACTCTACTTTTCCGGATACGTTCAAAGGTCGAACCTAAAACATCGTGATACGTTTATAAAATGATCGCTGCAAATTACATAATGCTCAACGTAATATTCTGTTTCTAATAAAATAATTAATAAAGGTACTGAGATACGTAATATACAAAAACTCGAATTTCTTATATTTCAAAACTCACACGAAAAGAATAATTTTACTGAGAGTAAAAATTTAGCTAGATGCAGATCCGAAAATAATTTTGTCGAAGCATCAAAATAATTATGTAGATAACTCGAGCATGATGAGCAATTCTGCCAAAAATTGTGACATTCTAGCAACCACTTTGAGTGTCCTACATAATTATTTTAATGGTTCAACAAAATTATTTATGTCCAACCAATATTTTTCAGATGTAGGAGTTGACCCAATCTTCAATCCAACCCTCAGCCATTTAATCGCGCGGAATTACGTAGTACATGTACCTGTTGAGCCGACGGTGCCGCGGCGG